CCAGTCTTCTCGACCGGCACGATGGGCTTCAAGGACTAGCTGCTTCTCGATGAGGGTGTGGGCGTGATTCGGAAAGGCATCATAGCGAAAGTTGCCATCGATATCAAGGCGTTCAGTGGAGTCAAACTGAATTCGGATGGTGTGACACTGGCGTAACGTATCCAGGAATGGGCCTTCTGGCAACTCATCCACATTTGCTTTGCATCTCCGGATAAACTCAGTGGCAAACCTTGTTTTTCCGAGACCAATTACGTTGTCCATAATAGGCATTACCCATTGCTTCCCGCGCTTTTTTCACAGCGCGGTTGTGGTTGGACTTGAGGATTTTGAAAAGCTGTTGCGTTGCGCGGTCATGGCTCACGAAGAACATTTCATCATCTGCAAAGCAATAAATCGAATCTGCCTCTTTCTTCCATGTACACTCTGAACGTATACGCTTCGGTGGAGTCACAATATCACCGGCCGGTTGCCTCTTCGCCGGCAAAATGTACGCAGGAACATTCACCAGCACGTGCGCAGAGCCGTATCCATCAGCAAACTCCTGATCGTCGAGTTGGACTCGCACTTCATCCTCTGACAAACCAGTATCAGCGAGTTTCGCTTCTCATACACGCAAACCGTTCTATCATCGGTGTCCCACTTGCCGTCCAGCACATAGTTTTCTGTCAGCCACCTCCCGTCCTTCTTCGCCAGGACAAGCTGTAGGCTCCATGAATTACATGTGATCATTGCTGAGGGTTCATCTTTGACTGCGCCCTTTAAGTCATTCACTTGTTGATCTGGGTTCATTTCCACAGAGAACATGTCGCTTGGCGCTTTGCCAACGACCGCGCACCTGATCTTCACCATGTTCACCCAAGGCAAGCTGAATACGAGAACGCGCAAAAAAGATGCATGAGGCACATCAATTTGATGTCGCACCACATGCATAATAGACGTGGCACACAGTAATTAGCAAAAAAAAGAACACACCAAATGTGAGTAAACGCATACCATTGGGTTGGATAATGGCCACAAATACATCAACATTTTACAGCCGGCCCAAATTAGGGCAGATGTTTCGAACCAGAGATTGGATTGGTGTTTTTTTCTTGAAGCACTGAATTTTAAAATTAGTGTTCTTATTTTAATTACCAGAAATGAAGACGAGCTGAGGCAGTCTCGACGCTGATTTTCAACACTTCACTTTCATCGCGGCACCTAGTAAGATCAATCTACTGACCAAGTTTGGACGGGAGACAATCAACGTGCATGACGTATTGCATTTGCACGAGATTGTACATCATTTCTGCGCGCGTTTGCCTTCAATGAGAACAAGTCTATTGAGCAGAAAACTCATTCAGGACACAAGAATGTATGGGGCTGTACATCGACATTGTGTGACTGGCAGGTTTCTTTCTCTACAAAATGTCCGTCTAAAAAAAATAGGGTAAACACGAAACTCGCGTACTGTCCTCCAAATGCTTGGTTTGTAAGCTCGATGAACCTTCTCACCGAGCTGTGATTCTATCGGGGAATGTTCATCTGATGTAACGGGGTACGATCCCCAGTGTACCCAAGTTACATGAAGAGTGACCAGTCACTCTTGTAATACCTGGTACATGGTACCAGATGCTCTAGGAGCCAATCA